TTTTTGAGGAACCTCCATACCGTTTTCCAGAGTGGCTGCACCAGCTTGCATTCCCACCAACAATGCAAAAGAGATCCTCTTTCTCCCCATCCTCGCCAACATCTGCTGTTGCCTGAGTTGTTAATGTTAGCCATTCTGACAGGTGTCAGGTGGTATCTCATTGTGGTTTTGATTTGTATTTCCCTGATGATGAGGGATGTGGAGCATTCTTTCACGTGTCGGTTGGCCACCTGGATGTCTTCCTTGGAGAAGTGTCTATTCATGTCTTTTGCCCATTTCTTCACTGGATTATTTGTTTTTTGGGCGTTGAGTTTGATAAGTTCTTTATAGATTTTGGATACTAACCCTTTATCTGATAGTCATTTGCAAATATCTTCTCCCATTCTGTCGGTTGCCTTTTAGTTTTGCTGAGTGTTTCCTTTGCTGTGCAGAAGCTTTTTATTTTGATGAGGTCCCAGTAGCTCATTTTTCCTTTGGTTGCCCTTGCCTCCAGAGACGTGTCGAGTAAGAAGTTGCTGCGGCCAAGATCAAAGAGGTTTTTACCTGCTTTCTCCTCGAGGATGATGATGGCTTCCTGTCTTACATTGAGGTCTTTCATCCATTTTGAGTTTATTTTTGTGTCTGGTGTAAGATAGTGGTCCAGGTTCATTCTTCTGCATGTCGCTGTCCAGTTTTCCCAGCACCACTTGCTGAAGAGACTGTCTTTATTCCATTGGATCTTCTTTCCCGCTTTGTCAAAGATTAGTTGGCCATACGTTGGTGGGTCCATTTCTGGGTTCTCTATTCTGTTTCATTGATCTGGGTGTCTGTTCTTGTGCCAGTACCACAGTGTCTTGATGATTACAGCTTTGTAGTATAGGACAAGAGAGCAAATTAATGGAATATCTGCCCAGTGCCAGCGCTCTGCTAGGACTGCCTTCTGAACACGGTCTTCAGTCTTTACATCTTAACGGTCTTCTGGCTCAAAGGGGAAGTTCAGTGTTTATGAAAGTTACGTTGTATTTAATGACCAAGCTAGCATGAGGTCTCAGGGCCCCTCAGTTCTGGTGCAGGGCTCATTTTACACGGATTCACATAGCTTTCGTAAATCTGTTCTCTGAAATTTGAAGACTGGGGGAGGATGGTAGAATATATCATCGGTTCCAGGCGGCACGTTGTTATTATACGGCAGTGTCCTGAAATTGGGATGTCTTATGATCGTCGACTCTTACGGTTTAGTAACATTTTCTTAGTGGTACGTAGAGTAAGCGTTCACCTTTAGAGATGACGCTAGGTGTTTGGGGTTGTTCGTTTTCTTCAGCATTTATCTGTCATACTTTAATACATATTTCTAAAATGTAACTTTTAGTTCATACCTTGGAAATATTTAGTCAAATTAAATTCCAGGATATTTATGTCTCTGAGGAGCCAGTGAGTACTATATAGACAGTCATCTTGCCTGTGGGTTTTAGGTAGTTTGGAACTGGCACGGTGCCAGAATCCTGCTGCACCAGGCTTGAATTTGTGCTAACTAGCTATGTTTCAAGGAGTTGGCAATTTTCTTTTTTAGCTTAAAGAACTTGGCATGCGTTAGTCTAAAGTGAAATTTCAGATGTAGCCTTTGTGAATTGTGTCATTTCCTTATTACCACTGGATATAACATCTATTAAATAGATGTGAAGTCCTCAGAATCTATGATTTTTTTTCTAATGGATATAGGATGAGTGAGAAAAAAAATCCTGGTGTGATTCCATTTTAAAGCCATTAGGCGGGAAAGAGCTTTCATTGTAAACTATTCCTAAGTTGTAATTCCGCACCCTACTCCCCCACCCCTCATTTTTTACTCATCATTTAACGCTTCTGAACCATGTCTTACAGTCTTAGAAGTTTAATTTTTAGAAAGTAAATATGGTGCCTGCTTATCCTATTATTGCCCGTTGCAAGAAAGACAGGTGTCCGTTTTCAGTGAAGCTGGGATGTTTGGCGGTGATCTCAGTCTGAGTGTTGTTTTTCACCAAAAAGTCAGATACGTTATATCTTGATCACCTGCAGCTGGTGTTGTTGCCAGACGTTCTAGTACAGGCTTGGGGGACCCGCATTCCCTAATTGGGGCACGAGTTAATCCTGAGCCAAAACAGAGTGAAATAGATGATGAGAAAGTACTAACTGCACAGCACAGACATTAAGCATGACTGGTGTTAATAATAGTTACCGAGTGAACATTGGCTATACTGTGCCAAATACTGTGCTGAGTCATTTGTGTCTGTTTTATATTTGATTCCCCTGAGACAGCCATCATTCCCCCTTTTAAAGATAGAACTGAGGCACAGAAATACCAAGCAACTTATTAGCCTACATCACAGAGGTGGGAAGATGCTGAAAATCTGAGCATGGACCTGTGATACTTGATATTTACTTCCCAGAAGGAAAAATACCTGAGCCAAAAAAGAGAAAGGAAGGCTTCGAGGTTTCCAACTTGAGCCTTCAAGGGTTCAAAAAAAAGAAAAAAAGTCTGAGCATAGAATGGGTCAGGATGGCCCAGTTTGTGAGGCGAGGCTGAGGTCCTGTGCTCTGACGTGGAGTAGCCTTTTCCTGAGAAGGATCTGGAGGGAAAGGTGCCCAGGTGTGTGGTTTTGGGGGATGAGCCCTGGTTCTCTGGATGATGAAGGACTCTGAGCTTCGTTGGCCCCCTCTGGCATAGATTAGAATATCATCTTTCATCATCCATTCCTGATGTCTGGCAGTGCGTTTCATACATTTATACTCAAATATTGATCAGATTCTCTCTGAAAATAGTTAGGACCAACAACACACTTACTAAGGGTTTGGAACCAGCCTGAATTTCAGTGATGGGTAGGTTGATGAATCTGAGCCTAAGATCCATGCTTAGTAAGGATAAAGTGTACCTAACCCTCCCAGAAATGTCTCCAGAGAAATCTGGACTTAGGTGTCTTTGACGATGTGAGTTTATCTCAAAAAAAAAAAAAAAAAAAAAAAAAAAAAAAAAAAAAACCGATTTCAGAATCTGAGAGATTTGGTTTGGTGATACTTCCTAGCGTGGATGATTATTTTCTTAAAATGCAGTCCTGCTCTAAGTACCATAGAGTCTGAAATATTTTGATTTCTTTGGATGTTGATTATACTCAGGTAGCAGAAAGACTAAACACTTTTGTAGCGTGCTGTTAATTTCAGCTGTAGTAAAAAGTAAAATCCCAGAGGTTCTCTTCCTAGTGATTTTATGGCCGTTTTGTTAGATTGCAAGATTAAAGAGCTAGACCTCAATTTACAAGTGCGGATTGACATTTCATACCTGGCCCTTCTCCAGGAGTTGATCTCATTTTATCCACAAACATTAGAAATCAAGCACACCAAACTGGGGTTGACATAATTTAATTTGCCACATTAGCTAAGTCACAATTAACTGTGTTAGACTTCCGTGTTCTGTCTAGTGCAGGTGTTTTGTGTGATAATTCTCTAAGCAGAATCTCACTTCGTTTTCTAAATTGAAAAAAACGCGTTTCCAGAAACCTTTAGTTCTGTATATTTAAATTTGCAGAAGTGTCGGTGGCTTTATTTATTGCCCTATTCCCTGAAACGGCTAGAAAAACATTTAAGAGTTTTTCCATAATATCTTTGTGCAGCTTCAGTTGTCAAGCAGCATTTTGCGTCGACTGAAAAATATAAAATAAATCAGCAAGTTAGGGCTTAAAAATTATAGCTCGCTTCTACAGCTGTTGTTCAAATCAAAATCTACCAGCAAATCCTTTTGCGTTAGTTACACTAAATTTGTAACAGTCTATGTCGCGTGACGTTACTGGAAGTCTCTGGGGTATACAGAAGGAGTGAGCCTACCATAGTGGGAAATAAAGTTGCAACATCGCCTTTTGTAAATGAAAATAAAGTGTAGACCTCCCTTCTGAGCCTAATCTAAGAACTTATAGGAAAGAAGAATACATTTGTAAAATTTTAATGGTCAACAAAGACTTCACTTCTGTCAATCCTATGAGGCAGGACTTTGAAAGGCATTCTGGGAAAGTCTGATTTTTACTCATCACTGCTGTTAAAATACAAACTTGAACAAGTTTGAAAATGTGTAGAAAATTGTTAAATGTTTCCACCTGCCCCCCCCTTTTTTTTTTGTCTTCTAGGTTAAGCAGGTACTTGCCCATGTGGTCTTATGATTTTAGATTCTTCAGTTTGTTTTAGTTTTTAAAATGATGAGAAGTGGTTTTAACAAGTGAAATAATCTCGTTCCCTTGAGGTAACCATTGTTAACGGTCTGGACTATATCTTTATGGTATTGCTTTTAAAAAATATTCTTCTGAAATATCAAATATTCTTCTGAAATGACAAACGTTAGTGAAGGATATCCTTTGTACGTTCCAAAATAAACATATTTATTGTCTCTTTCCTAAAAAGAAAAAAATAAAAACCAAAAGGCTTTTCCTGGTCTTAATTTTTCTGGGGGTCTTAAAGTCTGTTTGGTGCCTTTTAATAGGGTTTCCTCCACATCAAAAAAAAGCCCCGCTGAGTAGAATTGTCACATAAATGCAGTAGTTCTGGGACTGGCCCATTAGTTAAATGCTTGTCTCCTTTTCCAGTTAAATATAGCATCTGTAGGAACGGATATTTTAGCTGTTCTGTGGAGAACAATCCAGGCTCCTCCTCGCTTCAGGAATAGCTCTGGTTAAGCCCCTTCCTTGAGATTCCAGGTACTCGCTCGAAGATTGTAATTCTCGTTGCTGATGATTGGTTTCCTGTCTCCGTAATCACTAATCCTTTATCCTTAGGTGCTGAGAGTGGGGGGAAAAATCTTGCTGTGAGGGCCAATTTTCTAGGTGGGAGGATTCTTCTCTTGCCTTTTCTCAATGAGCTAGATTGCGACGAAGGTTGGTGAAAAGCGCCAGTTCTCTCAAGGGGCACTGAAGAGGGGGACGGTGTAGCTTGGAAGAGAGTAGACTCCTGACAGACCTCTGGGTCTTAGGACCTGCTGGAGCTGCCTCCTTCCCACAGTGCCTGGATTTCAGGGGGCCGGGCTCTCCTCCTGGTCTGTGGGGTCACCGAGCATCTCCAGATGTTTGGCAGTAGACTGCAAAGCCTGAGTAGGGAAGTGGTTCAGAGAAAATATGTTCACCTCCTGGGAGGAGAAGTCGAAGAGCCACTTGCTTAACCTATAGAGAGAACTCTTTAAAAATAGGATGGAAATGATCGATAGGGATCAGTGTGGGAATACGTACTTTTTTGTTTCAGGGGAATTTTCTTTTTTAAACTCCCATTTGATTCTTGAAATGCACCTTGCTTTGAACTTGGGGGAGGAAGAGAGATTCGGTTGTGTGATAGTCGTCCTTTGAAACCTGATGTGAGAATTACCTGCTTTGTTAAACAAACACACGAGGGCTCTTGATAGTAGGGTAGGCTCGTTTATGCTGATTCGCAAGCACCGTTAACGTCCATGTGTCTCCCTAACGGTGCTGCTGTTCTCCAAAGATGAGGAAGACTCCACAGAAAATTGACAAATGTGTATTTCAGCCTTTGGTCACGGAAACCTTCCCAACCAGTTCTATCTCAGTGGTCTGCAAGAATCAGAGTCTGCTCAAAGAACTCCCTTTTCCTGCTCCTCATGCTTGTCCAGTTCTTCTGTGTTCCTCGACAGGCTTAAAATGGTGATAAGGAAGACCCAAGAAGGGAGGATGAGTTTACACAGTTTTTGGAAAGTGAGGAGTTCTTGGAAGGAACGATAAACTCCCTAACGTTGCTTCTTCCTCTTACTCTAGGATATTCCTGCCGGTTGGTGTCACAGAATATGGCCCTTATCCTATTGAAGGAGGATTCCCTGGATGTAAGTCGTTTTTCAAACGTTGTATGTGTCTTTTATCGTATTAAACTCTTCATGTATTTATTACTACTATAACTGATGAGGGTGTGTTTTTTTTTTTTTTTTACTAAAAATTATAAAAGTACTCTGTATATTGTTATTTATGAACAGATGTCGTAATCTCTTTAAACACCAGGATAGTAAATTTGGAGCACTGCTTAAAGGTACTTCTCCTTTGTGCATCTGGAATTCTGCATTTACGATGTTGACGGGACCTGTTACGATTTACGTTAAGTGGGGATGGTCGACTCCAGAGTTACCAAGGAGACTTGCAGGATTTTCTTTCTAGCACAAACTTTAACATAAAGATAATATTCAAGTGTCCAGAGTTGTTTGAATTTATATAGGAATAGGCTGCATTCCCCCAACATTCCAGTGCCACTAGCTCATGCAGAATTGAACAGCATGGTTCTCTGAGCATGTCATAGACCTGTACCCGCCTGGGCGTGGCCTAAAGCTTCTGATGAGACCAGGGGAACCGATTTGGGGTTAAACAGTGACCTGGGAAGTAGTTTGATAGGAAGACATCAGCTGAACAACGAAATCCCATTTGTCAGGACTCATAACAAGGGCTTCTTACTGCCTGGAACCCAGGGCCACCCTTCAGGCAGTGTATTTAAAGCCTCTTTTAGGAGCAGATGACAGGGTTAGTGAAAAGGATGAGATATAGTACAGAGATGTTTATAGTTGGAGACCAGGGAGGCCATGAATCCTACCGTGAAGGCCGACACACAGAGCGCCTCTTCAGGTGGCGAGTCTGTGTGCTCGCGATGCTGTTCGATGACTTGGGAGCTTCAGGATCGATCTCAGTGTGCCTCTTACCCTTGTTTGTGTCACTGCCTACCAGAAGCCCAAACCTCCCGGGTCATCCCTCCTCTCCTGGACCCTAATTCTCCAGCTCTGGGGTAGTGAAGAACCTCCCTTCTACCCAGTGTTGGCTTCTCCCAAGCACCCCCATCCCACTTGCCTTTATTCTTGTCTATAGAACTTCTGATCACTAGAAATAATATATATTATTATTAATAAATATAATAAAAGTATATAAGTGTGATGAAACACATGTAGAATTCACCATCTTAGGCATTAAGTACACAGTTCAGTGGCATTCAATATGTTTATATTGTTGTATCATCACGATCTGTCTCCAGAACTCTTTTCATCTTACAAAATTAGAACTTGGTCCCCCTAAAACAGCAACTCCTCACTTCCTCCCCAGTGAGCCCCTGGCTCAACCACCATTCTGCTCTCTGTCTCTGAATTTGACTACCCTGGTATGTCCGATAAGTGGAATCATACTATATTTGTCTTTTTGTGACTGGCTTATTTCACTTAGCATAATGTCCTCAATTCATCTATTTTATAGCCTGTGTCAGATTGTCCATCCTTTATGACTGGATAATATTCTGTTACATGTGTAGCTCATGTATGGCTTATCCATTTATTTGTCAATGGAAACTCGGGTGGTTTCTGCCTTTTGGCTGTTGTGAATGCTGCTTCTACGATCGTGAGCGTTCAACTATCTCTTAAAGACCCTTCAGTTATTTTGAGCATATGCTCAGAGGTGGAATTGCTGGGTCATATGGTAGCTTTATGTTGACCTTCTAAGGAACTATCTTGCCGTTTCTATAGCAGATGCTCCGTTTTACATTCCCACCAGCAGTGAACGAGGGTTCCAGTGTCTCCACATCCTCACCAACATGTGTCATTTTGTGGGGTTTTTTTTTTTGTAGTAGCCATCTTGGTGGGCATGAAGTGGTATCCCCCTATGATTTTGGTTTGATTTCCCTAAGTGGTTAGTGATGTCGAACATCTGGTCATGGGCTTAGTGGCCATTTGTAGATCTTCTTTGGAGAAATGTCTAGTCAGTCCTTTGCCTGTTGAAAAAATTGGATTTTTTGCTTTTTCATTTTTGTGAAACACTTTATATTTGGTCTGTCTTGCTCTAGTCCCTTAAAATGTGAAAATATAACGTTCATAGAGCTAAAAAATCTGATTTTTTTAAAAAACTGGTCAAAGACCATGCTTTTCACAGGTACTCTGTAAATGTTTGAACGATTGGACCAACTTTAGATCATTTTCCAGTTACCGGCTAGAACTTCCGTTTAAAAGGTCACGCTGATGAGGCAGTGGCTATCTACCATATAGATACATCTATCTGTCCGTGGATGGGCTGCATACAAGGTATCTTTAGGAGGGAATCAAAACTGAGGAGAACAGCTTGGTGGTAGAGAGGAGAGTGGAGAGCTGGTGCAGAGAGGGGGACTAGAACCGTGGGGGAGCCAACTAGCCTGTGAGAACACCCAGATGTCTATGCCAGGAGCTTACTTGTTTGCCGATGATCTTCGGGTTCCAAGGCATCCACGATCTTAAACTAAGCCTATTATGTGATGGTAACTCAGAAGTGAGCCTGTATTTTCCTTTTATGCCAAGTGTACTCAGGAACCCGAGAGATGGGCTTTGACTCTACACAGCACTATGAGGCTCTAAGTACAAACTGGGAATTTTTTTTAAATGTTTACTTTTTTGAGAGGGGGGGAAGGTGCAGAAAGAGAGGGGGACAGAGGATCCAAAGCAGGCTCCACACGGACAGTAGAGAGCCTGATGCGGGCCTCAAAGTCATGCAGTGTGAGATCATGACCTGAGCCAAAGTCGGACGCTCCACCAACTGAGCCAGCCAGGCGCCCCCACATCGGGACTTTTGGTTGACCTAGATCATGGAGTGATTTGTGAGGCCAGACAGGTTTTGGGGGATGTGACTGGCTGCCCTTGGAAGCCTGTTAAGAATTCTTCTTTCTAACCAGTGTTGAACGTCTGGTTTTAGTGTAATGACTTCCATGTACTCAGTATCTGCTGAACAGAGGTACAATTTTTATGTTTTTTTTTTTTGTTCCATACTCCAAGCCCAGGGGGTATTCCCTATTTTTGACTAGAGTCCTTCTTCTCTTTCGCCTTGTTCCCTTCTCCCTCATTCTTCAGTTGGGTTGAAGGCATTCCTGTTCTCAAAATATTTCATTGCTAGGTGTGGAATAGGAGTCCTGGGGAAATAAATTAGGTGTGTACCAGATCCCTGTGGAGCTCCCAAGTTGAGCTTTTTAGGCTGCAGGGCTCACATATAAGTGGGAGGGAACAACGGGGATTACCGCAAAGAGCCAGATCTGGCATCCATCACTTTCACTTGACCGACAAACATGTCCGGGGTAGAACTCCAAATGCTTGTAAATGATCAGGATTTATCTCTCTGCTTTGAGTTAGTCACCTGTTACCAAAACAACATCTAAGCTCTGTAATACAGATGAGATCGGGGGTCTTGGAAACAGGGCTGGGGGGGGGGTGGTGGATCATATGTACCCCAGGGGAGCACTAGACGATGATGCGTCAGGATGCCAGAAGAAAATGTGCTTTTTCTTCTTTTACGTTTAAAAAAAAAAGTGCCGTGAAATCAGCTTCATTGATGATCACATATAGGTTGGCACTGGCACACCCAATCCTATTTCAGGTGCCCTGATTAGAAATGGGCCTGGGAGGGGGGCGCCTGGGGGGCTCAGTCGGTTGAGCATCCGGCTTCGGCTCAGGTCATGATCTCGTGGTCCGTGAGTTCGAGCCCCGCGTCGGGGTCTGTGCTGACGGCTCGGCACCTGGAGCCTGCTTCAGATTCTGTGTCTCCCTCTTCCTCTGCCCCTCCCCTGCTCACGCTCTGACTCTGTCTTTCAATAGTAAATAAATGTTAAAAAAAAAAAAAAAAAGGGAAATGGGCCTGGGAGGAGTGGGTAGGAGGAGGGAGGCATGGAGTGCAAGGAAGAAGTGTGGACACTGGGGCAATCACTCTTTGGTTTGCGAAATATTGCCCTTTGCGTGTGCTGGTTAAGTGGATTTGTGGGCCACGTTTAGTTTTGGGAAAACTGACTCTCCCAAGATACCAGCTTACGTGGATCCCTGTTTAAAAAAAAAAAAAAGGATTGGGGGTAACACTAGTGTCAGCAGAAGCCACACCGTTATGGCATGCTAGTTCAGGCTTTTCTTCAGCTACTGGATGAGTTAAGTCAGTTATCCGATCTCCCCAAGTTAAACAAATTTCAGAATTACTCAGGAGGCCATCATCATTAATCTTGAATCTTTTCAAAAACGCATATGGCGTCTTGAAATGTTAGCTGTGGTGACTAAAAAAACCTCTCAGAAATCATGAGGCTTTTAAAACTGAGCATGAGTATGAGAATAAAATTGTACAGTTTTATTAGCAATTGATAAAAACCTCTAATATTCAAGTTACTCTCCAAATTTCACAAAACCGGCTAGCAATCGACTGAAGGCATCCTTTGATACTTGACAAGAAGCGCCACGCCTTTTGGGGAGCATTTGTGTACCCTCCAGTAATACAGATAAAATAACACAGCCACAATTAAAACAAAGATGCACGGAAGACCTACAGAAAATCTTGCTGGGGTTTTCTGAGGAACAAGAAATTGAGCAAAGTGTGAAACGTAGGAGATTTGTTCCATATTTGGGTGAAAGTGTAGCTGCTTCTAAAATGGGTTAACTTACGGGGTGCCTGGGTGGCTCAGTCGGTCGAGGGTCCGACTTCAGCTCAGGTCATGATCTCACAGCTCGTGAGTTCGAGCCCCGTGTCAGGCTCTGTGCTGATAGCTCGGAGCCTGGAGCCTGCTTTGGATTCTGTGCCCCCCTCTCTCTCTCTGCCCCAACCCACTCGCATTCTGTCTCTGTCTCAAAAATAAATAAACATTAAAAAATTTTTTTAAAAATAAATAAAATGGGTTACCTTACTTACATACACACACACACATACACAAATTCTAGTTTTGATGAGCCATCAAAGGAAAGATGTATCGGTAAGGATATATTCTGAGCAAAATATTATTTCTTTAACACAAGTTTTATGAAATGAGTGTGTATCATCACTGATGGGATGGCCACTTGGGAATGAAAGGTGGAATCCTGTAAAATTCACT